ATTAAAGCAGTACTTATGAACATCCTAAATATACTGAAATCACTTCCAATAATCTTGTCCGTCACGTTCACTCAGGCCAGAATCTCAAGTACAAATGCAGCCTTCAGTTGATGCAGTCGTTGGTTGTTTCATGCAAGACAAGAATAAAATCAACAGGTTGCATCTACCATCTGTCTGTTTCCATCACCATCGCCTTGGGACATATCCAGAATGACGGATGGTCTTCAAATAGTCGTCAGTGCTTCAGTTTGTAATGTAATCCATGAATGCGGGTCACGAGTAACGATTACATGCATAGTCCGAATTAAGCCATGCCATTGGCTCGGCTGAAATCAGCAAAATGATCAACAGTGGAGAAAAGTGTTCAAAATTTTAACGAGCAAAACCTATTCAATAACAAGCGATGAACGTGGTTCTGCAGAAATGTTGAGACACAAGCTGGACAACTCCAAAGCGACAGAAATTAAAGCTGAGAGGATCGCGAAAAGGCTCATAGGGTCATCCATCCTGACCTCAACAGAAAAAAACGAAATGGAATACTAGAAAAACAAATACAGATTTTCTTTTATTTATATCATTTGGCTATCCAAATGAAGGGAGAAATCTCGCCTTACGTCATTTCTGAGACATCTCAACTGTATGGATGGAAGATCTGACTCAGTGAAGTTTGCTTACATATTTATCTCTGGTTCGAGAGAAAGCCAAGGTCACTTCTGAGGGAAATAAAACAAGCATGATGATGCAAATCACTCACTGCTCTATTCAAGTAGCTGAAAGTAAGACGTCGCCAGTTTTTTGAGGCGTAAGATTCAGGTTCAGATTCATCCAACACACATGTGACTGAAGAAGCAGCCAGTGCGGATAACGCATCATCTGCGCTTCATAACTTAACAAAGAAGAACGGAAAATGGCCAACTGTAAAAAACCAAGATCTACGCAATTATACAGAATCTTAGATCATATCATTAATACTGAAGATCTGGATGACAACAATGTGCAATTTTTATTCTCCACCAAATATATCTTTGCTGTACCTAATATACTAAGATGCCGATTATGATAAGTTTATAGCTTTGAGTAATCATCATCTACTCCAACAGTTACTCTAAAGTCACTCAACAGAATAACTTTAATCCAAAGAGGAACATCAGTCAGGAATTTGCAAGTAACGAGGCAAAACGTCTGTTTTCTTCTAACGTCGAATACCATGAGCTAATAACTGTCATATCGATTACTAAGTGAAAAACTAGCGAGGCGGCCATTAAGTTGTCCATGATTCGAAGTGTGAACTCGGTTACATAAATGAGCTGGCTGCTGATGACGAAGCCAGAACGTGTTGGATGGTCAGCAAATTTTCCAATCCAAGACAAAGAGCAAACTCAGGATATCGAATGATTCATATTACAATAGCGCCTGAATCATCCTGTTACGGGTACAAACACTGGATCAGGACCAGTGTATGTTCGTACCAGAATAAATGGTGCACGGCTATACTGCCTGATGCGAGCGCCTCAGGCCTGCTATTCGCCTTGACCTATCTGACAGTCGTTATACGCAATACAAGATGTAAACCAAATTTTTGTTGTTTTTGAGGAATGCAACCAGACGTTTAATCAAAGTCAAAATACTGCAAGTACGAATACCACCAGGAACAATGGTTATAACCTGGAAAAGACCTAAATCAAATCATGCAGGTTAGATGATGTTAAAACTTAACAATTTTGAGCGATTACAATTAAGTACAGAGACTAGGTTATTGTTTCACGGAGAATCGATCAAGAAAAAGCCAAATGCCTCCCTAAAGAAAGCATACTTGTGTTTTCTCATTGGCCACAGTTGTCGTTTTTCTCTTGTTTAGACACAGACAGCGTATATGAGTCAAAACAACTGGGTGCTTGCGAAAAGCTGGAAAATGTGGCTTTCAATTGGCGCCCATGTGACATGCTTTGAAATACGTACTGAAAAAAACGGACGGTGGCCGACAGGTAGGTGATTCGCTTTCCAAAACATTTCACATGTACGCTGTCTTTAACTAACTACTTCAGCCCAAAGAGTATCTATCACGTCCAAATATGTCAATTCGTTCTTATATGACCCTCTTCGTTCATAAGCAACTGAACCTTTGAGGAGCTTCTGACTCGCCCATATCAGATCCGTACGCCGAATGAAGTGGACAGAACCGTTCAGCGAGATGAATTTATTCTGCAGCATTTGTCATCAGTTCTGAACCCACTAATCAAAA